TCTGATCCCATGTGCTTCAAATGTACATGAAGAGTACAAGCACTGGTGCCAAAGTGTTTATGTGGAAATCCTCAGCAACATCCGTGGAGTGACAGTGAATGAAGGGAGCCAGAAACTTAGTGCATTTCCGTTAAGTGAACAACTTTTGCAATATTTCTAGAGCCACAGAACTGTTCATGTTCAACCTCCTGTTCCTGAGACAGTGCACAGAAGAGAAGGGAGAATCCTCTGATGATTAAAACTGAGTTGCTGAACAGTTTGGAGGGGAGGAATTTTGATGAGGCCTCTTCAACTAAGAGGTTGTATTGCTCCTGGTATCTTAGTACTGATGTAGAGTAATGCATCTATGAATCTTGTATTTCCAGGTAAAAGAAGTGCTTGTTTGAGTCTGAATGAGCGAGTGTCTTGTCTTGAATCAGTGCTTGTCTGAGTGAGAATGCAATTGTATCACTGCCAATATAAGTATCTATTAATAAAGCGCTCTTGAGTTACTGCATTTTTCCCATTCTAGAGAATGATTTGATTTGATGTTGTATTAGAGCTGGCAGGTGCTTGAGGTTAAAAAGGTTTGTTTCTCTGTGATGGTTACCAGATCCTTTATTTTGAAAGCCAGTTCCTTGGATGAACAGGAAACCCTAAACATCACATATTAGAGGCTGAACTTCTAGTCTAGCATTTCTTCAGCTGTGCACAGGTCAGTGAGTTTCTTTTTTTTCTTCTTCTTCTTTTTTTTTTAAGGAACACTCTATCCCTGCAACACACGGGGGTTTTTTTGGTTTGTTGTTTTTTGTTTGTTTTTTTTTTTTTTTTTTTTTTTTTTTTTGTGTATGTGCAGCAAGGGGCTAAATGTTCCTGTGAGAAATTAGCTGTTATTACAAAATTCAGATCCAAAGGGTCACAGCCACAAGAGCTTATTGTCAAACTGTACTCTACCAATGAAAAAAAAAGACATTTCCATGGTAACTTTCTAAATAATCTGCTTGAGAACCTTTCCAAGAAGAACTTTCCCCCATCAGATTAGACATTTGTGAGATCAAGCTCCTGTGCTGTAGCTACAACTGCACATGGTGTTGCTGGTAGTTTCTACATAGCCAAACCATTTTCAAGGAGAGAATCTCAAGCATGATCTGTACAAGCAGCATACATAACCAGGTCATGGCAGGATTTCACCTAATTTAAGGCATCATCAACTGAGGTAACTATGTTGGTTTCCTTTAGAATCAATGAAGAGAAATAGATTCTTTTAAGGTGTTTCTCATTTGACTTGTTTTAGACAACAGTCTTAGGCTGAGTTGAATCATGCCCTAGGACTGACATTTTCTTTCTATTTTCTATAAAGGGAGCTGGATAATTGCATCACACTTGTCAATGTCTGTATCTGGAGAAATATCTGTATCAGCACATCTCACTCCCCGTATACTTTTGTAATCTAGAGGTCTAGAAAATATGCTTTTAGCAAAAAAAAAAAGGGTAGAGTGAGTAATTAAATGGTCTGTCAAAGATAAAATCAGGGACATGCACGCAACAATTTTCAAATACATAAGTCTTCTGAGAAAAAGGGAAAAGTGATCAAACTGGAAAAAGTAGTAGGTTGAAGACTTCTAATAAGGATGGAGAGACAACAGTGTTTCACTGAAAATTACTGAGTATCTACTTTTTTTTTTAAACATTCCACAGTTTGTTTCATTTTCCAGAACTGTGCAAGTTCCAGCCTTCTACTTTAAGAGAAAGTTACTTACTGTTATTCTTTTTTCCTGTTGTCTTGATCACATATGCTTGTATCCCCTCAGTTTGTTTCTCAAGAATGTAAAAACCCCAAGCAAATAGTTTTTCTTTTTCTTTTATCTTCTTTTCTAATTTTTTTTCTCCTTCATTGTAAAGGGAATTTTTAAGCAAGGGGTTTTATGCTGGGATTTTCTGAGGGAGTGGTTGCCAAATATTTTTGTTCACCTAGAATACAGGAAGTGTAATACAGTGTTTGAATGGAAAAAATCTGAAAAAATATGGTTAAAATATCAGAAAAGCAATTTAAAAAGTGTATTTAGTATCTACAAATTAAAGTGCCTCATTGGACATAAGGGGGGATGTTGCATGAAAAGGGGATGCTTCTTTGACTTTTAACAGGGAGATGTACTTGACCCTTAGTATTTAATTTGGCTGTCAGCTCCCCAGGAAATTTGAGAACCTTGTGCCCAACCATTCTGTCAGCATCCTGTTAGGGTGACCCTTTAGTGAGCAGTCCTACTGGACTGGAGGTTGGTATAACTGATTTAGTCAGAGAAGTACAGCATAAACAGCATATGGAACACTCCTCAGTGGATCTTCCTCTTTTCTGAGTATGCTATTCACTGCTGGTGAATGCTAGTGCCCATGAAGGATTCCCACTAACAGTTTAGGGAATAACACTCTTTATTAATATAAAATTGTGACAGGTCAGTGACAGTAGCTGACTGTAAAAACATTTTTGCTTGCTTACTGAGCCAGCACCCTAGGTGATTTATTTCACCAAGGGCTTTAGCTGCAGCTACCCATGGTAGAAATAGGGAGACAGCAATATTTTTTGGTTTGTTCCAATCTTATAATTTGGGATCACAATTTTCATAAAATTCTGTGTAGAATCTTTTGTGGCATTTAAATTTGCTTTCTTTTTTTCAATTGTGCAACAAGGTGATATTTGGAGTGAGAGTAGAAAGACTTCCAAGGCTACAAAGATGTCCCTGGAGCTGTGAGGGGGCTTGGGGATTGACTCCGGTCCCCAAAGACGGTATCTGGTAATTTTGGCAGTTCGGGCACGTGGTGACAATAGCTTTTCCTTGATCTTTTGAGGGCTTGAACATTCTGATAAGGGCAGGTACATTTTGATGATAAAATGCATGTGACAACTTTGCCTGGGCAAAGATGTCAGGGACGTTAGCAGTCTCTATTGCTATGGCCAATGTGTCCACTTTCCTGTTCCCTTCTGTGATGATACCTGGGAGATCAGTGTGTGACTCACATGCATGATATGATAAGGTTGCTTTCTGTGGGATATTCAGCATATTAATGCAGCAATTAATTGGTGTAACTTTGGATTGGAAACTTCTTTGAGAAGAGCATGTTCTGCTCTCATAGCTATACCACTCAGCCAAGAGCACCCTGTTACCTTCGTGATGATACCTGGGAGATCAGTGTGTGACTCACATGCATGATATGATAAGGTTGCTTTCTGTGGGATATTCAGCATATTAATGCAGCAATTAATTGGTGTAACTTTGGATTGGAAACTTCTTTGAGAAGAGCATGTTCTGCTCTCATAGCTATACCAGCAACATAAGCTGAATCTGTGACCAGATTAAAGGGTTAATCTTTGAATTTCTCAAGGGCTCTGATAACAGCTGCTAACTGCAATCTGTGGAGATCCCTCCACTATTTGGACATCAGATTCTCATTTTTGGGTCTTGGGGTCCTTCCAGGTCATTACAGACTTGTGGGATGACCCTGAACCATCAGTAAAAATGGTTAGAGCTTTGAAAGGTGTTTTACTTTGGACTAATTTTGGGGTGAGATTAAAGGTTGCATTAAAAAGCTTATGTTTTGGGATACAGATGGAAATTTGGCCTGTATAGCTATCTAGGACTAACTGGAGATTTTCACTGGTCTGGAGTAAATGCTCCAGGTCTCCAGTGGTCAATGGCATGTGAACTCACACTCTGCAAGAGAGCGGAGGCAAGTTCTGGCCTTTTTTATTAGATGTCCCATGATTGCTTGGAAGGTGGTAATTGTCTTTGAAGGCAGATTGTTTTTAAAGACCCATTCCAGTATCAATAACGGATCTTGAAGTTGAGGATCCCATTGGAAAATCAGTCCACAGGACCGGGGTGCTTTTCCTAGAATGACGGACTGGAAAGGCAGGCTGGGTTCAAAGCAATGGTGTGAAGACAGGGCTTCTTGGACCTTGGCGTGAAGCCTGGCATGAAGACAAGGCTTCTTGGACCTTGGCGATGATGTCCTGGGCTTCTGTTTTGAGAATGCGTGAAGGTTCTAGGTCTTTATTGCCATGGAGAAGATTGAACAGGGAAGCGAGGTTCTCTGTTGTAATTCCTGGTAGGGGATGTACCCAGTTGATGGATCTGCACAGACTGTGTAAGCCTCTCAGTGTTTTTGCGTCGTCTCAGATGGTGAGCTGCTGGAGTATGATGGTCCTTCCACAGATCTGGAGTCTGAGATAAGTTCATGGGCCGGTGTATTGTGTTTTGTCTTCATGGATCTCGAAGCCTGCTTTTTCTATGGTTTCAATGGTCTTTTTAATTGCTTTGTCTAACTAAGCATTTTCTGATGCACAGACTACGATATCATCCATATAGTGGTAGATGATTGCATCTGAAAATAGATTCCAAATGGGAGACAGAATGTGAGCAACATACCACTGGCATATAGTAGGCGAGTTTTTCATGCCTTGAGGAAGGTAACACCAATGATATCTTTTGAGTGGAGCCTCTCTGTTAAGAGAGGGAACAGAGAAAGCAAACCATGGAGCATCCTGAGGGTGCAGGGGAATGCTGAAGAAGCAGTCTTTAATATCTATGATGGCAAGTGTCCAGTCTCGAGGCAGCATCAAGGGTGAAAACATACCAGGCTGGAGGGGGCCCATGTCCTCGATTGACCTAATGATTTTGCAAAGGTCGTGGAGGAGCCTCCACCTGTCCATTCCAGGTTTTTGCAGTACAAAGACTGAGGAGTTCCAAGGATGGGTGGTCTTGACGATGTGGCATTTGGCAAGCCGTTCTTCCACAAGGGCTTGTAGTGTGTGCAGTTTTACTTCAAAAAGGGGCCATTGTTGATACTTGGCATTTCCAAGTGAGCTGAGGGGTATCTAGTAGTGCGTGCTCCTCAGTGGCCTCAATCAGAAATCGCAACTGGGAATATGAAGGTAAGTCTCCCATTGGGACAGAACATCCCTTCCCAAAGGATGATGGAGGCCCTTACCACAAATGGGCGGATGATTGCCAACTTGCCTTTAGACTCTTCAATGAGGATGTTCGGCTTGCTTCACATAGACATTGTAGCTCTACCAGTCCTTGAAATCATACCTGTTACCAGTTGTAGTTCCCAGTTTGCTGGCCATTCTGAGCGGGCGATGATGGTCATGTCGGCACCGGTGTCCAGCATCCCTGGTCAGTAGATCTTCTCTCCTCTGCAGAAAAGACCACACTGGATGGTAGGCTTACTTGGTAGACCCACAACTCACGCCCACATTGCTGTAGGGTTGAGAGGAAACTGTTCCCTGTGATTCTTTGGGAGTAGAAAGGTTTGTGTGATCAGAGTTCCCTTGAAAGGAAAAATGGTAAGTCTGTGCGGTACATGTGGACAGAGATTTCTTGTCCTGAGTGCACTCTTTGTACTTCCGGAACAACAAAGTTTTCCTTTGGGCTATGGAGAGTGTCACCTATAATTAAGATGTCCAAAGGACCACCTTTTGGCCCATGCTTGCCTGTGGGAACACGATAAACATCCTTATTATTAAAGTCAATGGACAGAGCAGTTACCAGTTGGCGAGAGGTTCCCATCTGTATTGCTCCATGTGTTGAGTCCTCTTTATGCGGTCTGGAATCTCCTGGGATGATGTGTGGCTGGGTCTGGACGGCTTTTGATTTGTTGTCTTTGCGCAGGGCTCCACCATGCTCCACTGCCTATTTCTCAAACACTGCTGGTAGCGCTGCTGATTCTGGGGTCTTTGGTAGATGTTATGAGGGTGTCTGGTAGGTGACCTGTCTGGGCAGTCCTTTATAAAATGTCCAAAGTCTCCACAGTGAAAGCAGCCGGCCTGGTCTTTAGAAGACATTACTGCATATGCACCAGAAACTCCTTCTGCAATACCCTTAGCAACTGCTTGGGCCACTGTATTTTCAGTGGACAAATGGTGTGTACAGCTTTCCAGCATTTGCTCTATGGTAGGTTATGTGTCTAAGGGTAGGGCCCTCAGAATTGTTTTACACTGGTCATTAGCATTACTCATGGCAAGGTTGCACAACTGTTCTTTTCTTGCCTGTGTGCTCTCTATTTGTTTTTCCAGAGCATCCTTAATTCTGTCCACAAATTTGATAAAGCTTTCATCTACTCCTTGTTTAATATTAGAAAAGTATTGGTTAGGAATAGAGTCATCAGGGGTAAGAAGTAAGGAGGTTGTTGCTGCAATAGCCAAGTCTCGTAGTGCTGCCTTAGGTAATATGTTAGCTTGGTCAGAGGGTTTCTGTAAATCCCCTTCCCCAGCCAGCTCTTCGACTGTAAAATCTATCCTACCAGCATCTGTAGCATAGGTGTCTGATAATGTTTTTAATTGTCTTTTCCAATGCCTTTCCCATAACATATATTATGCTGGAGAATGAAGGCAGTATGCAATATTTTTAACATCGTGGGGTACCAAACCATGTGCTGAGAATATAGCTTCTAGGAAATTTCTAAAAATATGTGAACTTCTACCATGTTCTTTGTCTATATTTCTTAGTTGTATGAGTTCTTTATTTGTGTTATGTTCCCACATCTTTCTACTAGTGGCCCCACCTTTTTTTCCCTTTATATAATCTTCTGGGAAGGCCGATATATTCTGAGCCATTTCATAATCCCCTGGCTGTGCTGCTTCCATTGTTATTAGAGCCCATGGATCAATGTCGTCTCTATCAGAGTCACTGTCACTGTTGTCCTCAGAAGAGGAGTGCCAAGCAGGCAGTGCCCTATGCTTTTTATGGCATGTTGGATCAAGATTTTGCAGGGGTGTATGTGGCTGGAGAGGATGTGAGGAGGCACATGGCAGAACTTGGCTAGAGGGAGGCAGCAGCGGGGCTGGAATAGCAGCACCATGAGTGGCACAACATGTACAGGACTGGGGCATGTGGGGAAGTGGGATGGGACCATGGGGAGTCTCGGAGTTTCCATTTGGGGGTCCCTGAGGGTGGGTCTGTGGCTGCAAAGCCTGAGGATGGGGGCAAGGGAGAAGGGGGGAGATAGGAGGTGGTGGGATTGGAAGGGGCTGCTACGGGTGTGACAGGGCGTGCAGTGTGGTTTACTAGGGCTGCGATGGGCAGGCAGGCAGGGAGACCTCCTGCTGTGGCAGGGATGTTAGTGAGGGTAGGGGGACACCTAGGGGGTTAGTGAGGGTGGGGGGAGCAGCAGCAGGGGCGGGGGGGTCACAGCAGGGATTGGGGGAGCAGTCACAGGGATGCAGGGGTCGTGTCAGGAGTGGGGGGTGTCTCGGACGCAACAGAAACTGGTGCAGTTGCACTCGGAGCTAACGTGGGGGGAGGCTGTACACAGGATGCCGCGGTTGCACAATCGGTGGAATGGAATTCGTGCTTGCCCGTCCGAGGGAGGGGGGGGCAGAGGGATAGGCAGAGCCTGCAAACCCCGTGGGCGTGGAGGGGGTGTGAATTTTGTGTTTCCAGTCATAGGGAGAGGGACAGAAGGTGAAATAGCACTAGAGGAGGCACTAGGACCCAGGGAAAGTGGAGGACTGGGTGCCAGGGTTGAGAGGGGAAGATTGTTATCAACGTGATTAGCATTTAAAAGGACAGCCTCTGGTGAGGCATATAAGGTTTTAGTGTCTTTCTGGGAGGGAGGCTGCAGAGAATTTGAGCTTTTTTTGTTAGTTTTTTTTTTCTATGGCTTTGGTTATAGCATGATATAGAGGGATAAATTGAGTTACAGAAAAATCTTTATTAGTTTGAAGGGTATATATCCTGGTCCCTACTGTATCCCAAAAGGAATCTAGAGTGATAGTGTGTGTGTTAGTTTCTGGAAACTGGGAAAGAATCCATTTTATAAATTATTTCAGGTTAGTTTTTGAAAGATTACTTTTAGAGAAAGAGAAGTTGTTAGAAGATAGGATTTCTAGGATTAGTAAATAAAAGTCTCTCTCGTTCTGGGATCATTTTAATGGACTAAGTTTCAATCCCATATTTCCCATTCCTTGCCAACAGAAAAAAGAGGAAAAAAAAGAAAGAAAACCCCAAAAAAGGACCGAAGGAAAATGCACACAATAAAGGCTGTTTTAAAACTTACACTTCTTCAAAGTGTGGATTGGGTCAAAGGTCTGCTGGAGGTGGTCTGTGGTGTCAGTCTCCTCAGACACTCATCCAGATGTCAGCTGTGAGGGTTTACTGACAGCCCTGCAGAAGAGTCCTGCTGTAACGGAGGGCTTTTCTTCAGGGGGTCTTGGTGAGTGAAGGCAGTAACAATTTCAAGAAGAAATGCTGCTCCAGGATTCTCATGCTGTATGGGCGCCAAGTAATGCAGCCTCTGCTGGGTTTTGGGGTATCCCCAGCGGGCTGCAACAGGCCTAGATAGCACAGTCCTGTTCAGCACAACCTGTCCAAATTCCCAGGCAGCACCCAGATGCAGGCAACCTTAGCAAGCTCAGCTCTTAAGTGATTAGCTCTTTTAGTGATTATCAGCTAATTGAGTGATTTCAGCTCCTTAGCTTGCTAAATGCCATGGGCAGACACAGGGAGAGAGAGAAGAAGCACTGTATGAGGTTCCACAGAGGTGTCTTTATTGGGGTCTTCTGCGAAGGTTCTCAGGGACAGCTCTTCTGCTGAGCTGGGCAAAAGTAATTCTTTATATAGGTTATAGGGGTTTTAGGAATTGTCCAATAGTAAGGGTCAAGGGAAAGTGACCTATAGTCTTACAGAGAGATAAGCAAGGGTTCGACAGGTGGAAGAGGGACTTCTAAGGTCCAGTCATCATGACTCGGCATTTCCTATCTTAGGCTGCTGACCGCCAGGGTGGTCTTGCAGGGCCTGTGCCTGCTACACTGGGCTGCAGGGTTGGGTTCTGCTATGACCTGAGAGATGAGTAACGGTATTGCTTGGTCCTTAAGAGCCAAGTGGCAGAGGATGCATGAGGGCTGCCCAGCAGTTGTGCTCAGTGTGTGGCAAACAAGGGCAGGAACAGCATTCTGGGCCTCCCTGAGCCTCCCCAAAGGCTCTAAAGGACACTGGGTAGAGAGCCAGTGGGTAGGGCTGCTGGAAGTAGGGCTGGGCATGGAGGCCCCATCACCCCAATATCTCAGTGATACCTCCCTGCAATACAACAGGCACTGACCTGCCTGGAGCAGGAGAGAAAGGAGAATCCTCCCATGTCCCACTGTCAAAGCTGGGCTGGGGTGAGCCTGTAGATGTCTTAAAGGAAGTTTGTGAGGACCTTGTGGAATTACTTGGAGAGGGCTGAGAGAGGAAGACTGGAGAAGGCTGGATGAGACTGCTGCAGATGAGATGAATCACTAATCCTCAAATGTTACAGATGAGCAATGCAATGGTTGTCTCTCACAATTAAGGGATGAGTATTGTGTGTATGTTAAGAGAAGTTTTATAGATGTATAGTTATGTTACTGTAATATGTCCTTCCACAGTATTTCACCTCCCCCTTGTATTGTCACTGTATGGCCTTGGAAGTCAGAGCATTTGGAGAGGGCCAGCTTGTTACTATAGCAACATCTGACCTGCAATCAAGATGTAAGACAGTGATCGCCACCAATGGATGGCAAAGAAGGAGTTGACTGACAAGACTTTGGGAGGGGCTAAGAGTTTAAAAGGCAAAGCATCCATTTTATAGACAAGCCGGTGGCTGCTAGTCACGAAGACTCTCAGCACTGCTCTTTCATCTTATTCAGTCTTTTGTTGTATTTTGTTAAGATTTAATAAACCTTTGAAATTGTGAAAGTGAGCAGTCGTTTCTCACACTGAAAGTGTCCATAGCTTTTTCATCTGGAGAGCACTGGTGAAACCAAAGGAACGTCTTCTCAAGGAATATTACAGAACTCTCCATCCTCATTCCCTCTGGAATCTGGTGCAGCAGTCATAAGAACTGGGATGCAAAGATGTTGCCAGGGTTCCCAATGCTTTGAAACACTCTGCCTGGAGAGGAAAGGGTTCTTCCTCCCAAGGATGATCAGGCTGAGGGCATTTGGCCACTCTCAGAAGTCCCTGGGATGGCCCTAGGTTGACACAGAATGGGGCTTGGGCATCTCCAGGGAGGTGTGACAGAGCCTGTGGGATGATAATGAAGTAGGTCTTGCCCACATGCTGAGGGAACAGCTGGTGAGTAATACTGGGATTAGAAAGGAATTTTCCCTCTGGGCACATTGGCACTGGTCCTCCGGGGGTTTTGCCTTCCTTTGCAGGATCGAACATGACTACTGGTCAGGGGTCCCCCAATCCCTTTTGGCTAGGTTATCACCTGCTGATCATGCACCAGGAAGGTGGTGTGTCATGACATACAGCTGTGGGGAGGAGCATTTTTTATCCCCTTAAGGTGAGCTAGCAACTATGTCCAAGTTTTTTTGCCTTCCTCTGTAGCACTGAGCACAGCCACTTGCCAGAGCTCCATTGTGCCATTTTGACCAGGTGCCAGCAACTCATGCCTCATGGAGGTGGCCCTCATACCCCTGCACAAAGGGGCTAGTTTGGAGTGATATGACTTGATGTCTACATCATGTCTACCTACATATGACTACATCATAATTGGTGACTATATATAAGAGCTATATGTCATAGACAAGCCAGTATTTAAAAAACAGACGAGTTGCTGATCTGAACCAAACTAAGGCAGTTCAGTGGTCTGTTTCAGATGGTGGCCAGATGTAAAGTATGATGAGCTTATTTTTGGAGTAAGGGAAAGCGAGGCAAGAGAATGGAAGGGAAGGGAACGCAAGCCTCAAGGAAAGTACTGCAGAAAGTTGCTTCTGCAGATTTTCACTCAGATTTCA